AGAATTATACACCCTACATCCCAGACTAAAAGACGGAAAATACGGTTTTACAATCGATTGCAATCAATATTTACAAACATTTCTATTGTTTTTGTGTCGGCAGAAAGCGTAGCCAGACAAAAATGACCAAATCGTTAACCCTATCCCAGACTAAAATGATACACTGTCCCAGACAAAAGTCAAAAAATGATACCCTACCCTAGACCCAAAAACCAAAAATCCACACCCTATAGGGCGGCACATACCCGTACAGCAAATATAGAGGAGTACCCCCCTCGGGCTAACTACTAGATAGCGAAAGAACAGAAGATTTACAGGGTCATTTAGGATGTTTTGTCATGCAGTTTACTTGTGCTATATAACTTTACTTTTATGAACAACCTTTTGCTTTGGAAAGAGAGGAAAAAGACCGAAAAGACAATTTTTCCAATATTATTATTTGTGCAGTGAACTTACTTATATTTTACCCATCAAACCGAAATTTGTTTACACCTCATAGAAAAATTGAAAAAAAAAAAAAAAATTAAGAAGAGAAAATCAACCCAGGAAACCGAAATTTGTTCACACCTCATAGCCTAATAGACAAAAACGAGAAAAAATGGAATAATCAACAACTAATTTAAGAGGTTTAGTAGTCTAGTAATTGATATCACGAGTTCAAACCCGGCCAGCCCTAATTATCCAAATTATTGACATAAATGTTTACTAGCTGTCTATTTTAATTTCCGTTAAATGGTGTACTCTTCGGATAATATTTATAACATAATTTTTAATGTTATAATTTTGATGTTAGTGCGCGTAATCGAGACAAAAATCAAATATATTGCTTCCACGTACGCATACGTATCTTTAACCGGTTCCCTCGTCTATCTTCTGCAACTCTAATAGGTTTTATTTGAATGACCACGTTATATATCTTTGTTCACTAACTTTGTTGTCGTGAGATTTTGTCTCGATCAGCGCATAGAATTGAAAAGAGTAGAAAAATTGGATAATTCACGATCAATTTCTTTCCGCCTTCAGAGAGTTTATGAAAATTAGATAAACATTAAATAAATATAATGTTTACATTGGAAAATAAAATTTAACACGTAAAACATAGTACAAAATTCAACTCTTGAACATATGCAATAATTTACTACCAATAGATGGGGAATACATCATGCGAATTTACTTATATTTAACCCATGAAACCGAGGTTCGTTTGTACATTATAGAAAAATAGACAAAATGTAAAAATGGAATAATCAAGAACTAATTTAGAAGGTTTAGTAGTCTAGTAATTGATATCACGAGTTCAAACCCGGCTCTATCCAACTCATTGACATAATAAATATTGACTAGCTGTTTGTTATGATTTCAGTTACACGTTGTACTCTTCAAATGACACCGTCAAAGTAGCTTGATCTGGGGGACAAAAGAATTATAATCTCCCGAGAATTGAAACCTATTGTTTTGTCTCCCAAATTGAGCTGCATTTCAAAATGCTGCAAGGGGTCTATAGCTGAGGAGAAGGTGCTACCTTTTTAATTACATCTGCAAATTGTTAGACCTTTAAGTCTTTTTAGATAAGGACTTTAAACTGTAGGCCCTGTCTCCCAACCCTTCCTAACCCGCAGTAAATTGCCTGTTAAGAGTAGGGGATTGTCTCCCGGTTAAACATTCTATCCCGATTTGGAGGCATAACACTTACGTACTAATTATTCACTTGTAAGCTGCAGGCTGCTATAATACCAGGTGATCGATCTGAAATCTAGGCGCGCAATGCATTGCAATGCATTTATAAGAAAATCTTGAGACATTTGATGTGCACTGCTTCGATATTAACTAGAGGGAAGGAGAGATCTCGGTATCATAAACATATGATTGAAATTTACAATTTGCGATGGATTTTGGTAGATAATTCACATATAAGTTGAGAAGGGCACAGGCCCCAATATGGAGCCTGAGTTACACCATTGGTGATGATGAGTGGTGATAATAACGAAGTTTGAATATATGTAAGATAACTCTAGAACCATTTCAGAGCATTTTTGGAGGTCTTCATTGAAATTTGTTAAGTAGGTCGGAGTCTCTAAAAAAGGCAATGAAAGTATTGCGTATGATAAGTTTGATTTATGAAAACCATGAGTCACTTTTTTTTCGTCCATTGCTCTAAAGATATGATTGGTGATGAAGTAGACTTAGGGTTTTGGTTGAGTGAAACTTTTTATTTCCGCTGTGATGACGCGTAAGTCGAGCGTGCTGGTTTGACATCAAAGAAATCTAAACTTTTTATTTACCATTTTTTCCCATGGAATTCGTATTTATTTTCTGTGTGGCCTAAGTTCTAAACTAAATTTTACATAAAAACATAAACAACACTATTGTTTTATTGTTTTATTGTAGCTCCAAGTTGTTTTCCTCAATTAACGTCTCCTACAGCAAACTCGTCAACAAGTATCCGCGTCTCCTGGACTCCACTTCGTCCCAATAAAAAATGTATTAATGGTCAGTTACGTGGCTACAAGGTAGCGTACAGGTTATCAAGGACAGGAAGCACGTTACAATACATCACTGTCAATAATTCCTCTGCTACATCAGTAGTGGTTAGAAGACTTGATAAATACACATGGTACAGATTTCAAGTACTGGCCTACACTATCAAGGACGGTCAACTCAGTAATGCAGTGGAGGAAAGAACCAAGGAAGACGGTATGTATCTGCAGGAGAAATATTATCAGTGATGTTATTGAGGCGATATGCCATAGTTCATTTTGTTGTGTTCGCTGTTTGCGTTTTACTACTAACTGCCTAACATTGCGCGTTGAGTTTTATTATGACGTGTGCTTCGTGTATGAGTCGCCTAATCAATTGCTGGGTTGTTATCTGCTTTCTTTTGCTTATTTTTACCATCTGTGGATACTGTTTAGTAATGTGTTCTGTATATTTATTTATTTTATTTTATTTGTTGGATTTTACTTTTGTTTGTGATTTCTAACATCACATTTCCATGTGTAAAAAGCAATTGATTCGAGGTTGAAAATTAAAACAAGTTCAAATCGCCGCTTTAAACTTATTATTAATGATTTATTTCTTCTTCTTCGTTGCCATATCAAATTTAAGCCAAATGTTATCCATATTTGTTATCAAAAATATAATGGATTTACCATTTTTGGTTTAGAACCTGACGCTTCTCCACTAGCATTACATGTTTTCACACTTAATGCTACAACTTACGAAGCTACATGGAGTGAAGTACCTGGCGGCATGAGAAATGGATTAGTAATCAAGTATGAAGTGAGATGGATGACGACGGGAAGGAAAGGAAAACAAACTACTGCAAGACAATCAAATACTAGGGGTAAAATTTATGACTTCTCTTACACAATTCATGGGTTATCATTGTGTGCACAGTACAGCATATCTGTTAGGGCGTACACAGGTATTGGACCCGGACCATACAGTGCACCAGTCAACATAACCACACAACGTAAGTATCTTCTTTGAATATATAAATCCGATTGGTTACCATTTTATACTTAATTAATAAATTCGCCTTTAATTATTTCATCAAAATTAATAATTTTTGCTATGATTCAAAAACAGCAGATTTGTTACTTCACTGCGTCAAAGTCCCCTAAATCCCTATCCCCACCCCACCCAAAAAATAGCGCTTTCCATGAATGACTTCACGATTTTGCATCAAGGGGGAAAAAAAACGGGCAAGCCAAGACTAGCTACTTGCCAATATGCTGCAAAAAAGTTCTTTTTTTTTTTGTCTTGCGGATTTCAATTGACGGAGAAAAATGCGTTTTTTTTTTTTTTTTTTTTGACATCAGAAAAAAATCGATATTTGGTAGCATTTGGTCAGCTACGGTTTCAAGCTCACGCCCCCTCATGTGAGCCCATACAAACTATGTCTCAAAAACACGGTTTTTGGATCTTTTCTCGAAATAACAACTATCTAGGCAACAACTATCTGGGTGTATTTTACAAGAGAAACCACATTACATAACCGGGGTCAAGCTAGAAAATCGTCTCTGCTTGAAATAAAACAGAACCTGAAAAAAAAAAAAAAAAAAAAAAAGTATTCGAAAACCCAGCGCTTCTCTGAACATTTTAGTATATATTTCATAGGAATTTGTTAAAATTAAAAACCGTATTTAAATGATTTTACAAGCTCATACTATCTGTTGGCTATACATTCGCCTCTTACGGTTTCTCAAGACTCGTAGTCTCGAAAACACATTGTGGATAGCGAAAGAACAGAAGATTTACAGGATCATTTAGGATGTTGTGTCGCGCTTTACTTGTGCTATAAAACTTTACGTTTAAGCACAACCCTTTGCGTTGCTAAGATAAGAAAGAGAGGAAAGTGACCGAAAAAAGAAAATATTCCAAATGTAAGGGCAATTGCAATTTTTTCCAACGGATCGAAGTCTCGGGTTTTTTTTTTTTTTTTTTACTGACCGCAGTCTCGGATTAGAAAGTTTTCCGCATATCGATCAAATGAGGCTTTGTGATATATATTTTTGGTAAACGTGGAAAATGCTATTGTTAATAGTCCATAATTGAAGTCACTTTTGGCAAAATGTTAGGAGCTGTAGTTTGTTTGAATTTAAATGCTCTTAAGCTTTTAACCCAAAAGTTGATTGAGCGGCCGCCTTTAAAAGCTGCATAATACTTTCTTTTTTTCTTTCTTTGAAGTTAATTTGGCTTTATTCCGTTGAATTCTTTAAAAAATCAGAGTTGTATTAGGCATTTTTATTGCTTCCAACAAAGAAAACGTATTTAATAAAACTAAATTCGTACTGAAGAGTCCAAAATCGTTGGGAGTCTGACGTAGTAATTTGATCAGTAAATTATCTAAGTTCTGTTATAAACCGCACTGAAAGGTGGCATACTTCTTCCTCCACGTACTTTGATAGTTTAGATGCTAATCAGTAACCTTTCATTTACAGGACCTGGCTCCCCACTAGATTTTAAAGCATCGTTACAGAAGAAAACCACTGTCCGACTTTTTTGGAGAAAGCCTGCTAATGTCAAGAATCCCATTCAATCCTATAAAGTAAGCCAAGTTCTTTAAAATTAAAGTTACTAACACGCATGCATTAAGTAAACACAGCTAACAAGAAATGAAGGAAAACATCAAAACAACTATATTTCGCGAAGTGAATATCGGGGAATTTTTACCGAGACGCGACTCTTCGAGCGGTAAGGTAAATATTCCCCGATATTCACTGAGCCTGAGGTGAATAATCGTTTTAGTATTTTTAACACAATATAATAAAGAGTGAATATGATAAATGATGGAGAGAGAGAGTTTTTTTTTTCAATTTTTTTTATCGCGCGTGCGCGCTATATTAACCTGTAGTTGAATATACCCGGGGGGGGGGGGGGGGG